GATCTCGTTTAATTCTAATAAAGCCCAGACAGCATTGAAAGAATGGGAGAGACACCCCTGTGGTCCAATAAAATTATGCCAACTTGCTGCAAAAAGGAAACACTTAAATGTGTGTAGCTATTTTCTTATGTCAGAAAGACAAAGCTTATTTATTTTTTATTTTGAGACACAGTCTCTCTTTGTTGCCCTCAGTAGAGCACTGTGATGTCACAGCACAAAGCAACCTTAGACTCCTGGGTTAAAGTGATTCTTTTGCCTCAGCCTTCCCAGTAGCTGGGATTACAGGCACTTGTCACAATGCCTGGCTATTTTTAAAGGTGGGGTCATCCTCTACTCAGGTTGGTCAGGTTTTTTTTTTTTTTTTGAGACAGTCTCACTTGGTCACCCTTGGTAGAGTGCTGTGGTGTCTTAGCTCATAGCACCCTCAAACTCTTGGGTTTGAGTGATTCTCTTGCCTCAGCCTCCCAAGTAGCTGGGACTACAGGTGCCTGCCACAATGCCCAGCTATTTCTTTAGAGATAGGGGTTTCACTCTAGCTCAGGCTGGTCTTGAGCCTGTGAGCTCAGGCAATCCACCCGTCTTGACCTCCCAAGTGCTGGGATTACAGGTGTGAGCCACCATGCCTGGCTTCAGGCTGGTCTTGAACTTGTGAGCTCAGGTGATTTTCCTGCCTTGGGCTCCCAGAGTGCTGGGATTATAGTTGGGAGCCATCGTGCCCAGCTTTATTTATTTATTTATTTATTTATGAGACAGAGTCTCTGTTGTCCAGGCTAGCCTGCTGTGTCATCATAGCTCACAGCAACCTTAAACTCCTGGGCTCAAGTGATCCTTTTGCCTTAGCCTCCAAAGGAACTGGGACTACAGGCACCTGCCACAATGCTCAGCTAGTTTTTCTATTTTTAGTAGAGACAGGTCTTGCTCAGGCTGGTCTGAGGTCAAGGGATCTACCTGCTTCAGCCTCCCAGAGTGCTAGGATGACAGGTGTGAGCCACTGTTCTGCCACTTGTTATTTAAGTTAACAAAATCCATTTCACAGTCTTTTTATTTTATTATTATTTTTTTGCGTTTTTTTTTTTTTTTTTGTCTGGGGCTGGGTTTTTTTCCACCACCTCTTGCTTATGTGGCAGGCGCTCTACTGTGATCGATAGGCGCTGCCATCACAGTCTTTTTAAAACTTGAGAATAGTTTTATTATCTCATTTTTTTTTT